GGGGGAGGGGGAAGAGAGAGAAAGAGAAAGAGAGACAGACGGACAGGGGGAGAGAAGGGAGACAGGTACCCACTCCTGGCTCCCGCACTCCGCGCCCCATGAAAATACTTCTGCAAGGAATATTTTCGCCAGGTGTCGGATTTGACTTTCTGTATCTTGGGCAGTTTGTTTCGCAACGCTCGAATATAGTCGCTTCGTCATGCAGCACACATATGCTTCCCATTACCACCACAGATAAATATGCTCCAGTCTGTTGACTTGCGTGCCTGCCCGGCTCTGCCCGGGGCCTCTCTGCCTATCCATGCCCACGCCGCGGAGGTGCACCGCGCGGCCGCAGAGGAAGGGCGCGACCCCCGCGGCCTGCAGTACAGGCAGACCAAGGCACGAGCGCGGCTGGCTACGCTCGCGGTAAATCAAAAAGGGCAGGGGCGGGGCGGGCAGGCGCATCGCGTGCGGCCTCGCGTCAGCCTGCGTCAGCGGTGTAAAGTGTCCATTAGTGCCAGCTTCTCTCTCTCTCTCTCTCTCTCTCTCTCTCTCTCTCTCTCTATCTCTTTTTCTCTCAAACTCACACACTCACACACACACACACACACACACACACACACACACTCCTCTCCCTCTTTCCACTGTGTTTTTAAAAGTTAATTGTATCAGGCGGTATCAGGTGACTATACGTGTTTTCGGGCAAATAATCAAACAAAGAACGTCCAAGAAAGGATCGACAAAGCAGTTGATGCAAATTTAGAACCAGTACGTATCTTCTTTTCATTTACGCCGGTACACAGGCAACAGGCAATATGAAAATGTGTTCACAATTAAGTATCCAAGTGCTAGGGAGCGAGCTCCTGCACGTTAGCGCGCGCTGAGCTGAGGGCGGGCCGCCAACTTCACACAGCTGCTTGGCGGGTTGGCACTCTTTGGTATTTTATCTGTTCTTTTTAATTTGTCGCAGCACCGTCTTCTCGGTAAAAAAAATTACGCGAATAAATAGATTGTTTCGTTTTTATGTAGTCGTTTATCCGTCACATTCGCGCCAATACCGATCAGTGCAGAAAAGTGCTGCCCTCCTGGACCTCTCTTTCAAGAAGATCACTGCCTAGCCCCACCCCTTCTCCTCTCCCCTACCCTTCTCCCTACCGCTTCTCCTGCTATCCGTTCGGTTCGCATAAATTACCTCACGTGCTCCCATCTGGCGCTGCCGCGGCGACTGTCACTGAACTAAAGGGGCTTGATTTATCTCGACCCGTGGAGGCAGGCCCAACCTGCCCAGCTGACCGGAGACTACTCACTTTAGTTGGCTCCTACATGTACAGTGCCGCCGGTCCTTGGGAAGAGCTTACGACGCGTACTAGGGTACAACAAGTGTTGCGTTTATTGCACTGCACATACGAATGCACGAATGTGTGGCTCACTATAGACGGGTAATGGTTATTCGCCTCTGCTCCCAGATGAGAATGCGCGTTGTTCGCTCACCTAGAGGAGAGATTATATAAAACCAGCTACATTCAAGGGCCCGCTCTCTGTGCTATGTAGGGTGAGGAGGAGGGCGAACTCTGCCCTCTGGTAGAGACAGTCGTATCGTAGGGGCCGTCTAAAAAATCAGCGAGCCCCGCTCCCGTGCGGCCCTGTCCTGAAAGAAAAGGGGGTGTGGCACGTTTTCTCCCTCTCGTAGAGACAGTCTTGGGGACTGTCTAAAAGACCGTAACGACCAACATACAGGGTGGTCGAGAGACCCCTTCCTTTGATTTACTGTACCGGATGCAGGCGTGTGGGTGGGTTGCATAGGCCTACTCGCACGGGGCCGCTGTGAGCGACGGTAGGCAAGCTCGCCCGCACGCCTGCATGCGGTACAGTATAAGCAAAATAAAGGAAGGGGTATGTGGACCAACCTGCACAAATCACTCCCGCATGTTCCTGGTGGTCGTGATGCACGTTAGCGCGAGGCATGTTATCACAGCCATCAAATATTTGGCAAATGTAATCTCGTTTGCTCATTTTGTACATTTTAAATCGGCGTTAAGCATTTGTCAATCGAAACTCTCTGCATGAATGTTCCTTATTGGTCGTGCCACTATCGGCGTGACGTAGAGGCGGGATGCTTTCGACCAAACGAAAACGCTTACATGTTATTCTTCTCCCTCCGTTGGCCGAAATACACACCGTATTTGTGCGAGTCACGGGGGCAGCCCCGGCGCTGGGGTTTGTCCCGTACTGTTGGAGTTAATCCTTCGGCGGCCGGCCAACTTGCGGCTGCATCTGGCGCGGGCGCGGGGCGAGGTTATCGTATCGTATTCGTATCCGCCCGTCCGTATCGTCAGTCGTCAGTCGCCAGTGTCCAGTCGCAGTCGCCAGTGTGCCTGCACAAGCTGTAGGTCACGCAGCCTTCAGCGCATCATCACAACGCCAACCGCCAAGGTAGGCCGATAGTGCACACCAGGGAGGCGCAGTGAGTGTATCGTTTGTTTTGAAGTTTCGCACTAATGTCGTTGGGTTTCTAGGCCGCCGTTTAGCCTCTGCCATGGACCCAGTGGGAACGTCTGCGCTGACCCTGGAGCAGCTGCCGGACGACGTGCTGGTGATGGTGCTGCAGTACGTGCACATAAAGGACGTCCTGGAATGCCGCCTCGTGTGCAAGAGGTTCTGCGGCCTGGCCCTGCACCGGGACATCTGGCGCCACCGGTCGGTCGAGGGCGGCAAGCCCTACACGGGTGCGGTGCTGCGCCTGGCTCCTTGCCTCAACAAGCTGACTGTCACAGACCGTGTCCCGGCCCTGGCCGTGACGTCGACCCGGTGCTCCGTTGAAAGTTTGATATTGCTTTCGGAGAAGCTGATCTCTCACGCGACGCAGTACGCCTTGGCCGTGCGCAACCAGGAGTCCCTTGGGCGGCTCAGGCGACTTGTGCTGGATACTCTGGCGCTGGATACCATTTTGCCGCTTCCCGACAAGCTGGTGAGGACGGTTTACGTCGTGTTCCCACCTGGAGTCGCTCGATGTCGGGGTACCCAGTATCAGCTGCCCCGTTGTGCGCAGGCCACCCATGCCCTCGCTCACGACGTTCAAATGTTCTTTCAACGAGAACACGGTGAGCTTCGTGCACACCATACTGGCCGGGCACGCGGCTACCTTGGAGGAGGTTGACTTGTTTCCATGCTCCGACACCAACGAGACGACGACGGCTAGCCTGTTGGCGGCCTTGCCGAGACTCCGCAGCCTGTGCGTCGACGACTCCATGAGGGGGTTACAGGCCGTGGCAGAGTGCAACACGCTCAGAGACGTTCACATCAGCATTTACGGCCGTGATCATCTCAAGAGGATTTCGGAGTTCCTCCGGCAGGCACAACAACTGCGGCGTGTCGACCTGTATAACAGTGCGGTAGACGACAGGCCCGAGTTCTGCACGCAGCTGCTCGACGGTCTGGTCTCGTCCGGGCAGTCCCGCGTGGAGCGTTTGTCCTTTATGATGTTCGAGAACATGCGGCCGCTCCTCGGCGTGCTGCCCTCGCTGCCCGCCCTGCGCCACCTGGAGCTGGACCTGCAGACCCAGGACCCCGACGACGAGCTTCTCAAGGGCATCACGCCCGTCACGGCCCCGGCACTGAAGCTCCTGAAGATTGTGGTAAGTGGTGAGTGTGCCCACGCCTGGGTACACGGGGACACGGCCCAGGCTCTGCTCGTGAAGAATCCCTCACTTCATATCCAGTTCTGGGTCTGGGACGCAGGAAGAGCCACATGCGATCTCCAGGTCTGCGAGTCATGCGTGCTAGGCTGCCATCAGGAAGTAAAATGGGGTGAGGTGAGTACGATGATAGGCCTCTACTCGCACGACCCTGACAAGTGTCCCTCTCCGGAGTACCACACCGACGACAAACTCTCCCTAAAGTACACATGTACGTGGATCCATGTGTGATGTATTTATGCTTGATTGTGGATGCTCTGAAACGTCTTGGAGAGGGTAAGATACATAAGGGCTCTTGAACGATTGATAAATTAAAAACCCTTAGTTATTATGATATGTCTGCTCACTCGTTCCCAGTCCCAACACGCCGCCCGCACCGCCACTAACAACCATCACTACTTGCACAACAGCCGTAAACCTTTGGGCTAAGGCTAAAAGAGGCCTTGCGGGTGCTGGTCGTCAAGTCAAGGCTTCAACCCGCCCCCTCAGCCGAGGCCGAGGCCTCAGCGTTGTGTGCATCAGCATAAAGTGCAACAACTGTCCGTTAATGTTGATTTCCAGTCAGTGCTTAGTAATACCACGTGTGTGTGTTTTTTCTGGGGTAAAGGGGGGGGGGTAGAGCTGCTGCTGCCGAACACCATGTTCGGACGCCCAGGCCGGCCCGGCCGCGTATAAAGCATTCCGGTAAACCAGAAATGCAGAAGAATGCGGGGAACAAGAAAACGGAAATCGCTATGCTCTAACATGGTGACTTCCGTTTTCTTGTTCCCCGCATTTTTCAGCATTTCTGCTTTACCGGAATGCTTTATTTACAAATGCTCGTAGGCCCAGCCAGGTATGTGAAATAGGGTATTCCAATGGATCACGGAGCCGAAGTAAGAAGAACAAAAACGGAAGGTGGAAAGGGGCCCGTACTGCTTCCCGCCTGCCCTACTACTTCTCCCAGTCCCAGGGGCACCTCCAAGTAGAGGAGATCGGGCGCCTTTTCACCGAGTAGCGCAGAGTGGGGGAGCGCGCGCCGCTGAGCGGCGAATAAAGCATTCCGGTGAAGCTGAAAAGAAGAAGAATGAGGGGAACAACAAAACGGAAATCACTACGCTACGTAGTTTCTTACGAAGACATGCTCTTCATGTTGTTGTCCCCCTCATTCTTCTTTTCAGCTTTACCGGAATGCTTTATTCGCCGCTCGGCGGCGCGCGCTCCCCCACTCCGCGCTACTCGGTCGGCTGTCTGTCGGCTCGCAGCCGTACGGCACGGCGGGAGTAGCCCGGCAGCAGCGGGACGAGCGGGACCGAAGCCTCTCACCTCGCTCGCTTCGCTCGGTCGAGGAGTCAGTCAGGTTTAGTCAGCCCCCAGATCCAGGTCAACGCGTCAGCAAATCAACAATCAACCCACCTTACACTCACCGCCGAGGTAGGAGAGTGGACAGAGCATACCGGCCCAGCGTTGCGTGTAGTGTTGACTTTCACTCAACGCCGTGTTCCTGGCAGGTAGTTGAACGTCTCTTGGCTCGATGGGGTCGTCAGTGCTGACCCTGGAGCAGCTCCCGGACGACGTACTCTTGGTGGCGATGCATTTTGTGTCCGTGGAGGACGTCCTCTCCTGCCGCCTCGTGTGCAAGAGGCTCTGCGGCCTGGCTCTGCACCGGGACATCTGGCGCCACCGATCGGTCGCGGACGGCAAGTCCTGCACGGGTGCGGTGCTGCGCCTGGCTCCGTGCCTCAACAAGCTGACGGTCAAAAGCCGAGTCCCGACCCTCGCCGTGACCACGACCCGGTGCGCCGTGGCAAATTTGGAACTGCTTCCAGACTACGAGCTTCATCGGGATCAGGTCCCAGAGTGCGTCCTGGCCTTGGCCTTATCCGTGCGCAACCAGGAAGCCCTCGGGCGCCTCAGACGACTTAAGCTTGTCATCTATTTACCCAGTGCCGACGCGCTGTTGAGGATGGTTGCGTCGTGTTCCCACCTGGAGTCGCTCACGGTGATCGGCAACCGCGGTATCAGGCACCCCGTTTTGAACGGGCCGCCCGTGCCATCTCTCAGGGAATTCCAGTGTTCACTCGTCCCTAGCTGTGAAAGCTTCGTGCACACCATACTGGCCGGGCACGCGGCTACCCTGGAGGACGTTGCCCTCTCCGGTGCGCACGAGACGACGACGTCCATCCTGTTGGCTGCCTTGCCGAGACTCCACAGGCTGCGGCTTGACGACGAGGTGCGAGGGTTAGAGGCCGTGGCAGCGTGCAAGACGCTTCGAGACGTTCACATTACTCTTTACGAAGACCTAGATAATCTCGGGAAGAATGCTGCGGAGTTCCTCCGCCGAGCGTACCGACTGCGACGTGTGCACCTGGAGTACAGTGCGGGAAGCGACACCGGCGCCGATCACTGCACGGTGTTGGTGGAGGCTCTGGTCTCATCTGGGCCGTCCCGCGTGGAGTGGCTCTCGCTTGTGAGGTTCGAGGACGTGCGGCCGCTGCTCCGCGTGCTGCCCTCGCTGCCGGCCCTGCGCCGCCTAGAGGTGGACCTGGGCGTCACCGAGGAGCCCGACGACGAGCTGCTCAAGGGCATCACGCCCGTCACGGCCCCGGCCCTGACGCTCCTGAAGATTGTGGTGAGTGGATGTCCCCACGCCTGGGTACACGGGGACACGGCCCAGGCGACGCTCGCGGTGAATCCCTCGCTTCACATCCAGTTCTGGTGCCGCACTGTTCGCAAGTGCGATCCACAGGGATGCGAGTCATGCATGCTAGGCTGCCATCGGGAAGTAAATTGGGATTGGGGGAGTAAGGTAGGCCTCTACTTGCATGACCCTGACAAGTGTCCCTCTCCGGAGGACCACACTGAGGACACCGACGACTGGGAATCACCCTTCATCCCCAAAACTCGTGCAGTTTGCACGTGGATCCATTTGTGATGCATTTGTGCTTGATTGGTAAATGCTCCCAACCTTTTGTTTCGTTCCGTCAGACATGTTAAATTGGGCGAAATCTTTCGATTTGCATTGTGAGAAAGGATTGTTGATCGGTGAATAAATTACCAAGCATTTGTTCTAACATTAAATGTATGCTTTACTCGTTACCTGTTCCGACACGCCGCGCGCCCGCGCCGCCGAGACGCCAACAACAATCGGGACGTTCTATGGCTGAAGGGCAAGCCTCGAGACACTCAATTTTTGATTTTGACCAAATAGTATTTTTTTTCTCTTCCAACGGTGCCAAATCAGATTTTTAAAAAAATGGCTGAGATGGTTGTCGAATATATACAAAATAAAAATATCTGAC